CTCAGTGTGATCAAACTGAAACTCTGGATTATGCATTTTTCTACATCCACTTTTTGCATTACAAATCAGCTTGCAAATAAAGAATAACTGTTCGCTGGAATTTTAGACTGCATGTAATTTCTTCCCTAGAAAATGTTTCACCCCTTACTTATTTGGTATTGTCAGACACAGCCAATCAGTGTGATTTTTCCTCAGAAAACTCCCAACCATTACCATATCCCAAATCCTCCCTGCTGCACTTCTCAATACATCATCCAATTAACCACAAACTTGGCACTAGAGCAGAGTGACCGAAGCACGCAGTGACTCTGCCACATTTCTGATGGGCATTATTTCATTGCAGGAATAGAGCAAGGGATAGAAAAGCTCTCAGAGATTTATTCCCGAGGAACAGGACTCAAGGAATCCTATGAAAGACAAGTTCTTGTGCCAGAAGTACATCAAGGGCCTTTCTTCTGGTATGTCACGTGTGGTGGGTGTCCAGGGACATCACCCTGACTGCCACAAGCTGCCAAAGCTTTCCTGCTGCAGGGGAGCAGGGATTTTCTTGGAGTATCCTGGCAGCAGTGCCCTGCCTTTGCCATCCCTCCCTTCCTGCAGGAACACCCAGCTGCTTTCACCTCTCCTCTCCGAGCAGCTGAGGGGAGCAGAAATGGGTTTACAGCAGCTGCAGACTCTGCTCCACATGCACACCCCACTACCACTATAAAGAGAGGACCACTGACTGCTTTTAGGACAGAAACAATTCTACAATGACCTGCACAGATACCGAAATTAAACACTCAGACCTGACCACTAATTCCACTGCTGATGAAGCATACGAACTCCTTCACAGATCAGCTTGTGCTCTGGTACCATCAGACCCAACTAAAAGATGCTAACAACTCTGCCTGTTTCTAATTCAGTAACAGAAGTACTTCAGCATTTAAAAGCTATTAATTACAACTTAGTTTTTCCAGATTTTGTTACAGATTTTATAAGATCAATGGTTTACCCTAAACAATTGGTCACAGCCTGCACAGAACTAATATTCTATCCTTACTTTAATCATATATGATGCAATACCAGGATGAGATTCTAAAAAACAAACACATTAGCAAGATTTGCCTTTAGATTTTCACTCCCCAGCTTGATGGTAACGAGTTCTGCCATTCTGCTCAAAAGCAATAAGAAACTGTACTTTTTACCAGAATGTGAGCCTCTCCTAAAAAGCTACAATGACATTTTGAGAACTTGTGTTTATTGTCAAAATAACTACAGATAGTTTAAGTTTTCAAACAGTATTAACTTCTTCCATTTGTCCTCAGATCCAACTCAGAGCTGTGGCTCAAGCTAGATTTACTCCTGTTGGTCAGAGAGACCAGCTGCCTCCTCTGCTATTGATATACACACCCATATTCAGAAATATGAAGCAAACTGTCAAGGAGAGCTGCACGCTGTGCCCATGGGAACACGACGCTCTTTTTCCTGTTCTCCAGCAAAAGGTTGCTTTTAGAGTGATGGGGACACCAAAAACTACAAACAAACCAGGACCATGGAACAGCAGGTTACCTTCACGCTGCTGATCTGATTCCAATCACACAGCTGCTTCCCGACGGGACGTGCAGCTTTAACTGGAGGGCAGCAGCATTTCTCCAGAGATTTCACCTGCATTTGCTGCCACAGCACTCCCTGTTTGCAAGGGGCTGTTTTCTCTGAGCACTGCAACTCCCTCCCCATCAAACATGGGTCCATCTGCCACCACAGGGCAAACTGAGGCAGCAAAGCCATGCCCATTCCAGTTTCTTTAGGAATCATGCCAGCCTTTACTACAGAAAAGGGTTAATGTTCAGCTGCTTGCCTCACAGGTACAGTCTCCAGTGAAGAGCCCTGTTTGATACCTGTAGGAAGCTGCCATTTTTGCATCTCATATTCCATTTGTGAACAGACCTTTTTGTTCTTTAATCCAAGTTCTGAATTATTTAATCCTGTCTCCAACACTTGAAACATCTTTCCCTATAAACAAGGGGTTATTTAGCGAAAGGAAATAAATAATTTAAAAAGTCAGACCCTAAAGTGTTCCTGGCTCTGTTTTTAATTAATATTGATACAATCTGGAGAAACCTGCTGCTTAATATTACAAGGCAGGTCGAAGCTCATCAACAGTTAAACATCTCCTTCTAACAGAAGGTGGAAGAGGAAGTTGGGAGCAGCCGGGTACGCGGCGATCGGGGACTGCCCAGTCCCAGCTCCTCACGACTTTCTCATGCACAGAGAGCTTCAAAGCCCTCACACCCCGAGCTCCACGAGCTGGAGTTCTGCAGGGCACAGGTGGAGTTGTGTTAAGCATAAATCCTCCAGGCTTTCGTGCTGGAACAGAGAGTACGCGGAAGTATTTTTATTTTCTACAATTCCACGCTCGAAATACGTCAGCGCAAGCGAAGGACGGGGACGGAGGGAGGCATGGACAGTTCTGTGGGACTGAACTTCATCCCTGGGAATGATAGTTTTTATAGCACATTGCTTCATCTGCAAGTGGGAGTAAATATTACACTACCTCTTCGTGCAGATGGGTGGGTAAAAAAGAAAAAATAAAAAGCTAATTTGAAACAAATTAACTATTCTGCATAGGGAGGAAGGTATTCTCGCCCTCCCCGGTCACTCCAGGGCTCTCTGCAGACAGAGTGCATGCAAAGTTAACAAACTCTGTGCTGCTCACAGCCTGCCTGCTGAACCTGCCAACAGGTGAACAGCCTCAATCCGCAGCACGGATAAATAATCACCAGTCCTCAAAAGCAGGTAATGAATATTGTTCAAACAACTCTAAGCTGGCGTTACCAGAATGCTTCAAAGGAGAAGCTACAAGCTGTTCAAGTCAGACTGTCACATTTAGTCTGCAAAAACGAGATTAAGGTTTGTACAGTGATACTCCACAACAGGTTTTACAGTATGCACAGAAATTAAATTATGATAAAAGTGAGCTATTTTTTTACTAAAAACAGAATAGAACAATCTATCAAAATGCCATTTGGCTGTGTTCATTACATTTTAGAATTTAATTTACATGATAGATACTTTAGCATAATATGTTTTAATCAATAAGCATTTCTGAAGGCTTTATTTTTACAGGCAATATTTAGACTTGTTCACCGTTAAATGTAACGCCACGGCAGCGATGTTCAGAGCGTTTATTTTCCTATGCTAAGCAAGTACAGCCACACGTACACAGAGGCAAAAGCAAAAGTCCACAATTAGAGATGTCAGACCTTGTTTAACTACATCTTAATTTAATCCATTTTATTTTATACAATTCTACATCTGGATCTCATTTTCTGTATTCCTGTAGGTATTCCGGGTCACTATTAAGAACCCTTTCAAGTTAGCAAAGTTCAGCCAAGTCTACCTTAATCCAAAACCTTTAAAAGAAACAATAAAACGCGAAAGGGGGTGGAAGACGACAGAGAAACCTGAAACAAAACGCTACTTTACCCCACCTCCTAATGCACCTGAAAGTCGGAAGGGACCGGCCTCCCAGCACAGATCCCACGCAGCACTTCCCCTTTCGGGGGCTGCTGGGGTGGGAGTTTTGAATATTATATATCTATATTATATATTATATCGCTCCCGCACGCCCGGCCGAGGGGAAGGGAGGGCGGCAGGAGCCGGGTCCCGCTGCCGGCCCCCTGCGAGCATCCCCTCACCTCCAGCGGGAATGCGGCTCTGCCCAGCATCAGCGCACCATGCCTCCGCCTGCCGCAGCCTCCGGCCGGCTCCGCCGCCGCCTCCGCGGGGGCCAGGGTGGGCAGCCGCCGGCTTTCGAGCCAATTTATTTAAACGGGAGGCAGCGGCGGGTTCGGAGAGGCAGGGCAGCGCCTTCCTGCGCCAATCAACTGGGAGACACGCGTGTTGCAATCCCATTCACGGCGGGAGCAGCACCGATACAGCGTCTGACAACCCCCCCGGCCCGCCCCGGCCTTATCTGTAGCCCGGCAACTCAATTAAACCGTGGGGCCGCAATTCCCCCGGGGACGGTCCCCGGGGGCAGGGGGAGGGAGGCCGGTCTGCGAGGACTTTCCCTCGCAGGAAACGGCACTTCGGGGCTCCCCCGAGCCAGCACGCAGTAAAGCATCAATATTCCGCTCATCTGTCAGATCCTGGACAGCAGGAGAGGCTGGAGAGCCCGTGAATTATGTAACGTGCCCTCCCGCCGCCGCGGGGAGATGCGCCGCCGTGCCCCGCGCCGGCCGGGACGCCCCCGCGCCCCTCCGCCGCTGCCCTCCCGAGCCCCCCTCTCCGCGCACCGGGCGCTCGCCCCTTCCCCACCCCGCGGGACCCTCCGCCGCTCGCTCGCTCCCTCCCTGCCGGCCGGTGCCCCCGCGTCCCCTCCCCTGGCGGCCCGGCGCGGTGCCCGCGGCGGTCGCAGGGCGGCGGCCGGAG